GGTTTTCAACGCGAGCCTGTGGAATCCGATACGATCGTGTTATCCAATAAAACCCTAACACGAAGAGCATGAGCCTGGAGAGGGCTCTTCCACACTGCACAATGACGATCCTCCTCCACCCTACCAAGTGAGCGTAATCCTCCTGGTGCTCGTCCTCGCGATTTGGGACAGAGCACATCGTGCAAACCCTACAAATCAAGTAATAGACCAACAAGATGGTTGTTACCGCCACCAACCGCACCGGAACCAGCGTCACGAGCGCCACCCCCAGAAGCACCTTCTCCCGCGTCGGCAATTCGCCGCGTCCCATGGCGCCGTACACGTCACGCCGCACGAACGCGGCGAATTTCTTCTCGAGCTCGCTGGAGGAGGAGGCGGCGGGGGTGGGGTTGAGGAGAGGACGCTCTTCTTTGTTTGGCTCAGGTTGCTTCGGATCGAGGTCTTGGAGTTCGGACTCCATTGATGAAACTTGGAGCGTTAATCATGTGAGCGGTTTTCCATCTGAATTTTTGGATGTTTGGGGAGAAAGGAAATGGAATTCGTTTTCTTCTGCAGAACCGGGAGAAGATGAACGATTTGATTTTCCTCAGAAGAAAATAAAATAAGTTTATTTATTTATTTATGTTTGAAAAGGAAAACAAGAGGAGGAAGAGTGGGAGAGAATTGTGAGCCAATAAATTATTTTGCCCACGTAACAGTTCATAATGTATTATCTATACTATTTTATATTAGATTTTATTTTTTCCTTTTATTTTATTATATGTAATATAATATTTTAATTTTAATATTTATTTTTATTTTTATATAACCAAAATATATTATAAAACAAACTGTTATATAATTAAATTATTTTTTATATAATAAATAAAATCATATAAAATACAAAATAGTATTACATATATTTTATTTATAAATATATAATTAAAATTAATATTAATATCAACCTTAAACTCTAACTAACTCAAAAGTTTATGTGATAAAAGATTAGGGTACATAAGCGAAACAATATATGTGTTTCCGATAATAATAATTTTCCGTGATTTATTTTTTGCCCTTAACTTATCTGGATTAGCTGTACAAACATAATAAAATTTAAATCTATTACTAGTTGGTTGGTGTATGTTTATAGAAAATACATCTTATATTTTTAGAAGTGTAAGAAAGAATATTTAATTTTAAAGTCACACACTAAAACAAAATATTGAAGAATATTTGTTATTAATTCTTAAATAATATAGTTGTAAGGTTTTTAATACATTGATTTTTATTAAATGTAATATATTTGGCTACATATTAATAATAATATTACATGACAAAAAAAAATTTAAGTGGTAAAACTATATTGAGATTTAACTTGAGAAATATATGATTACTAAATACTCATTTTATATCATATTTTCTAACTTCTATCCAAATAACTAATCTTTTTACTAGAATGTTAATATTTATTTGTCAAATTATATTATGGTATTATATTATATATTAATCATATCACAAATGTATCTACTAAGTTGTAAGATTAACCAACATATTAATCATGATCTACTACCTAAGACTAGAGCTTCCACGTGGTCAACTAACCACAAAATATGCAAGTAATTAAAGAACCATTAAGTACTAGAAGGGTTTAAGTAATAACTCAATACACTGAACTAATGACTTATGGAGATTATAAGAAATCTTATAAATACAAAATTATGCTTTTAGGAAATATGAATAATGAGTATTTTAGAGAAAGTTTAAAAATGTTATCCAGACTTTTTTAATAATATTTTGTATATTTTGTATTTATCGTGAGACTGATAACAAAATCTCGTTTCAATTATATTATTTAGTCTTTAATTAAAAATGATGTTTCAATATATTCATGAGTTTAAAATTACTTAAAAATTAAGATAAGAATAATTTATATATATATTTCACTTCACTGTTAAAGTTAAAAAATAACAATTTTGTTATTGCATTTTTTTATGATAGTTAATTGTAACAATATTATCATAGTAGTAGATCTTATTGAAAACTAAAGGAGTATAAGTCATGACTCTCTAAAATTTTATAAATTTTATATATTGATGATTTTGATCTTCAAAATTTAATTATTATTAAATATATTATTTATATATTTATAATTAGATTTTTTTATATTTTTTATTTTTTTATATTTATTTATTATTTATTAATAATATATTATTTGATCCCAAAATTAATACTGAAAATCTACCAGTGTAAAATATTAATCTACCACTATAAAATATTAATTTTGATGTATATTCATCTTTTATACAATTATTTATATATTAACATATATTCATTCTTTTATATGTATTATTTAACTAGAAAACAATATTATTAATTTTGATGGAATATTATATATATATATATATATATTTAAATAATAAAACAAAAATAAAATAATATATGAAATTTAGATAGTTGATAATTAAAATTTTTATTATTTAAATATATATATATATAATGAAATTTGTAATTTACAAGTATTAAAAATATTAATAAATAAATTTTTTGATTCTTATATTTTACTTTTTCAGTAATATTTAAGGATTTTTTTATCAATATGGGTCGAAGAGCTTCTTCATGGGTTAGTAAGTATGGTACCATGAAGGAGATTGGTACCAGGGGAAATCTTACCAAAGCATGCTCCTGATTATGTTGCTTAGAAGCCTCTGTATCCTTTTCAATTCTTTCTAGTTCTTTTTGTCTCATTTTCGTTAGGATGAGAATTAAACCGTTCACGTATTGACCGATCCGTCATTGTTCAGAGTATGATAAGGAAAACCCAAATTGATTAGGGACGGGCGGGTTCGGGTTTTCTCGGCTTTAAAAAGTCGGGAGTGCGGGCGGGAGCGGGGATGGGTAATGCAATCTCACCCAGACCCTGTCCCCGTCTCGTCCACGCCCGATTTTATATTTAAATTTAAATTTTAAAATATTATTATTTCTTTTTCTTTTTCTATTACATCATTTTTTTATATTTCACTAAAATTTTTTTCTTCTACCCACTTTTTAATTTTTTTGTCTTTTTTAATCTTTTATATCAATTAATTTATTACATTATTTTTTCTCTTATCTTTCAGTTTTTCACATTTCCTTAATCTCTCCCATCAATTTGTTTTTTTTTTCAATCTTTTCAACCAATTTGATGAACACAAAGTTAACTTTTTTTTATTCTTTATCTTTTTCTAAATATTTTACATAAATCTTAGTAGTAACTAATATTATTTTATTTATAATTTATATTTATTAGGTTTTACTATGTCATATTTTTTTATCTTATTATTCTTATTTATCATATATCAAATTTTATCTTAATAAAATAATTGTATTTTAAAGGATTAAAAGAATTGATAATTTAAATTTTTATTACTTCGAACTAATTGAATAAGAATTAACTTATTAAATATTTCCTTATAAACTATATATTTCATATTTTTAAATGACAACTTAAAAATGAATTAACTTATATATATAATCAAATGTTTGAATACAATATTATAATAATAGTATTATAAATATTCAAATATTTGAATACATTATTATAATAATAATAATATTATAAATAAAAAATGATTAAATATTTCTTTTATATACATATTTTAATATAAATATAATAAATTAAAATGTATATTTAATTAATAATAATTATAAATTATAAATATTTATTTATATATAAAAAATAAATAATAAAATTAATTTATTATAAATATAATTATCTTTTTAAAAGTAATATAAATCGAATACTGAACGGGACGAAAACTCAAAACCTAGCGAGGACGGAAATGGGGATTTAATTTCTAACCCGACGAAATCGGAACGGGATAGAAATAATTAAAAAAGTTAAGGGTGGGAGGCAAAACCTGCATGCGCGCCCCCGTTGCCATGTTTTGACAATATCTGTGCAATGTTTGTGTCGTTTTTCTATTGGAACTCCTGCATTTGAGACTTATATTGATGATAGTGTTAACATCATATTACCTCTTAATTACATTAATTACACATTTGAATCATAAAAAAGTGTGGTCACGAATAAGTTTGTTCGGCTCTCGCAGTGTACTCCAAATATTCTTGTATAATATTAAAGGAAATCCAACGTGTCGATGTAGGTGGCATTTGTTTTGTGATCTACAGGATAAAACTTTGCCAAGAACTAAAAAAATATATATAAGAACGTGACTTGGAAATAATAGTTCGACCTTATTTATAAGATTTTATCTTAAATTATACTTATTTTAATGTTCAATATTAATAATATGATTATGTTAACCAATTAATTAGGTATTTTGTTGTTCATTTTTACTATAATATATATTAAAAGAATTTGAATAAATATAATATTTTCATTTAATTAATTAATGTGAGGAAGTAAAAGTTGTTTTATAAAAAAATACGACAAAATTGAGTAGAAATTCTTTTATATAATGATTTAGATGATAATCAGTAATTATTATTATTATTGATATAAATATTATTATGATATTATTATAATTATTAATTAATAATAAAATATAACATTATTATAATAATTATGATTAATGTAATATTAATATAAGTAAATATAATAATAATATATGGTATGATAAGAATAGTCATTATTAAAAAATTAAAAAGTTGAAGTATGACGTATTATAAATCTAAATTTGTAATTTTTTCAAAATTTATTCTGATAATTTTTTCCTATAACAGTAAACAAAAAGGAAATGTTTAAGGATATTTCGTTTCAAAATTCCATTGCCACACCATTGTTATTTATTTATATTTTACACGTACAACTGAAACTCAGAAGCTTTAATGTGTATTTGGATTGACATTTAAACCTAAAATTGATGTAAAAAATAGAAGTACTCTAAGTAACTTTAGCTTATATATCACATGAAAAAAAGGAAAGGAAATGGTCATTATTATAACATGCAATAGCTGAAATAGCAAGTGGAGAAGCCATGCAAGAAAAAAAATTGATTGAGTTGGCATGGTGACATAAGAATTCACTTGGTCCACCACCAGAGGAAATCCTTGCGCCTATGGATCTTCTTCTGGAGCTGGAGGAGGCCATAGAGTAAAGCCTCAGCAGTTGGAGGACAACCAGGGATATATATGTCAACAGGAACAATCCTGTCACATCCTCTAACAACTGAGTATGAATAGTGGTAGTATCCACCTCCATTAGCACAACTTCCCATTGATATCACCCACCTTGGCTCTGGCATTTGATCATAAACCCTGCACCATTTTTGGCATCACAGAGGTGTGTGTTATGTTAGTATCACCCTCTCTAACCAAATCTTCATTACTCATTTTGTGAGCCTCTCGTTATATCTGGTAAGTTTCAGAAATAAATTTTCTGCAGTAACTTCTTCGTCACTACATTCAATTCTTAATTCTTCAATGTCCCATTGGATGAGTTTGGTTAGGTTGAAAATAAGTGTTTTTAAAAAATAATTTATTTATAAGTAATTTTTATAAAAGCAGAAATTGTTGTGTTTGATTACAATTATAAAAAGCAATGTTTTATCAAAATTGAAAAAAAAGTGTTTTTAGGTTTTAGATAATGATAAATAAAATAAATTAGTTAACAGAGAAATGTAATGGTAAGCATGGAAAGAAGGAGGAAACGAACTTGCGAAGTGCGGGGGCCATCTTGTTGGTGAGAGTGCCGGCGACGATCATGCAATCGGACTGGCGTGGGCTGGGCCTGAAGATGATTCCGAAGCGGTCCAGATCGTAGCGGGCCGCACCCGTGTGCATCATCTCCACAGCGCAGCAGGCCAGCCCAAACGTCATGGGCCAGATTGACCCCACGCGGGCCCAGTTCATGAGCGCATCCACCTTCGAGACCACGAATTCCGCCGGCTTCGACAACCCCACGGGGGAGGACTTCGCCGGCGTCGGCGGCGCACAGTAACTCGTAGGAGCCACCGTGCGGGAGGAACTGCTGTGGAGAAGGGACGCCGAAGCTCGCCGCTGAGGGAGGCGCCACGTGGTTCCGGTTCGAGTGACGAGAGCCATAGAGATACGACCACGACACAACGCACACTTTCGTTTCGTTTGGGTTCTTTTGTTTTTTTGTTTTTTTTTTTCTCAGCAATTTGTTAACGAGGAATCAACGTTATTGTTCTAGACTCTCTCCCTGTCTCTGTTTGTTCTTGAGGCAATCAATCTCCGTTGCAATATGCTCGCCACTTTAGGATCATGGGTGGACCAATTTGTAACAAACCTTCCTTATTTTAGTTTTGGTGCTGATTGCTACATGTCACGAAAGCATTTTACCAAAATAACCATACAAGGGTGTTAATAATTTTGTTGATTTTTTTAAATAAAATAAATATAACTCCAAAAATGAGTGATATTAGACAATTTTCTGTATATATTTTTCTAAACCATGAAATAAGTTTTTTTTTTCATGAATTAAAAATAATTTACTAAAAATAAAAAAATATAAAAGAGAATTGCTACAGATTAATTTATTAATAATAACTTTATAAGAAAAAAATATTATCTCTCCTAAAAACACGGTCAAACCTACCACATGGTAGTTGCACTTTATATTTTGATAGTTACAACTAAATGTATTAATTTTTTTTTTCATCTCTTATATAAAGTGAGATATTTATAAAAGTTGTAAATATACTATTTACCATATAATTGATTTGAATTTTTAATAAGTTATTGTCTAAAAGTACATACGAAGAATTTCAGCTAAATATATTTTAAATAAGAAATTTGTGATAAGGAATTATTAACTTCCTATTGTAATTTATCTTTATGAAGATAACAATTTTTTTATATATAAATATAAATTATTTTTTAACAAAAATATGAATATTGATTTATTATGTATGAGATATTAGTTTTTTTATTATAATTAATAATATTTTTATGTAACATATTTAAAATTAATTTGATAACAAAACTAATTTACTTTTGTATAATGAAAATAAACATAGGATTATATATATATATATATATATATATATATATATATATATATATATATTACAAATTTTAACATATGTTATTAAAAGCCTATAAGATATATTGAAAAAAATACTATCTTATTGTAAATATTTAATATTAATATTTGATCATTTAATATTAGGTGTAGAGTCGTCAAAAATTAGATGATTCAACATCAATTGATTGAAAGTCAGACATACCGCATCGATTCATATTTACTTGAAGTTGAAAGTTTGACATATCAATATCAATTAGTCTATACTTTTTTTTTGGCAAATGTAAATACTATATATGTACCCAAAGAGAAGCTTGCACTAGAAGATCCAGACAGTTGAGTCATACAAAACTACAAGCTAAGCTTATAGCTAAGGTCAAAGAAATACATAAAAAAGATACATCAAAGAGATACAGGGAAAATGTTACACTCTAAGCTCAAAGATATTACATCAATATGAGGATACAAGTGAAAGATAGTTTAATAGATCTGCCTCTTGATTTTTACAAGGATTGCATCAGAGTTGAAAACCTTTCCTTCAAATTCTTTGCTATTTCGATTCATCCAAATCAAGTAAACATTTGTTGCTAGTGCAATGTGTTTGGCCTTCTCTTGAACTCCAGTACCTTTGACATTGTACTTAAGCCACCTGAATGTTGTTTTGAGGGAGTTGTGGCCTCTATTGTCGTCCAACCAATGGAGAATATGCTTCCAGATTCTGCTAGAAATCTGGCATTTGAAGAAAAAGTGTTTTGTAGTCTCTGTCGTTCTCCCGCATAAGAGACATGCGGGGTCTTGATCAATATAGGTCACTCTGTCCTTTGTGAGCAGCTTACCTCTGGCAGCAAGCCAAAGGATGAAGTTGTGTCTAGGAACAAGATAGTTCTTCCATACCATCTTTTCCCACCAAACTGTTGATTGCTTTGGTCTGAAGAAATTATACGCCTTTGCAGCAATGAATGAGTCGTTAATAGCCCCGTCTTCAATCACCGTCCTGGCTGTCTCCAAAGATCCAACTTCAGTGATAATTTCATCTCTGATTTTGCAAATTCTCTTCATCAAAGGGGAAGCATCCCTAAGAGGAGAGAAAAAAAAATTGTTCCCATGAAGGTAATAATGATGGATCCACCTGATCCAAAGAGTCTCAGTACCTGCATGAAACTTCCAGACAATGTTAGATAAAAGACTCTTGTTCCAGCAGCTCCAATTAAGAAAACCCAGTCCACCCTCACTCTTTGGAGTACAGGTAGAAATCCAGGCCACTAATGGCTTCTTTGAACCTCCCCAAAGGAAATTCCTGCTCCAGCCAATAATCTTGTGAAGAACAGAGGCAACTTTTGTAAAGTGCTATTGTTTCAACTTTTAATAGCTTCTGTAATCCTCTCAACTAGAGGTGAGAAGTACGACACTTTTAGCCCCGTTGCTGCCAAAGGTATCTCAAGATACCTGAAAGGAAATAAACCATCATCAAACTGAGCTATGTCCTTGATTTCATGAGACACAACTGCTGTCACACCTGCTAAGTAGAGCTGTGATTTCTCATTATTTGCATACAACCCAGAACATCTGCTGAAGTTATGAAAGCACTTAAGAATCTTCTCAACAGATAATAAATCCCCTCTTGAGCATAAGATAAGATCATCTGCAAAGATGAGATGATTTAACTTGACAACAATACACTTGGGATGTGGGTAATAATCCTCATCCCTCCATAAAGTCTTCAGCAGCCTTGATAGATACTCCATGGAAATAACAAAGAGCAGAGGAGAGAGGGGATCTCCTTGCCTGAGCCCCCTCTTACCTTTGAAGTAACCATGCAGCGTGCCATTTAAAGAGATGGAGTAGGAGGTAATCGTGACACACTCCTTTATGAGCTTCACAAACTGCCAAGGGAAATTTAGCCCAATCAGAAGCTTGAGCAGGAAAGACCAGTTTACGGTATCAAAAGCCTTCCTGAGGTCCACCTTAAGCAGGCATCTTGGAGAGACTCTCTTTCTAGCATAACCCTTGAGCAGCACTTGCAGCAAAAAGATGTTCTCGTTCATGCTCATTCTTGGGACGAAAGTTATTTGGACTGGATCAATCAAATCAGGAAGAACTTTGGAGATCCTACTAGCTAGGATCTTAGATATAACTTTATAGATCACATTGCAATAAGAAATGGGCCTAAAATCAGTAACCTCTGAAACATGATTTGAGTTGGGGACCATGACAAGAAGAGAATGATTCACTTGCTTCAGGAGCCTGCCAGTTCTGTAGAATTCCTAGACAGCTTCAGTAACTTCTGTCCCAACAGTATCCCAGGAGGACTTGTAGAACTTGGACGAGTACCATCAGGCCCAGGCGCCTTGTGATCAGGGATGCTAAACACTGCATTCTTAACTTCATCTACTGTGACAACAACCAAGAGAGAGTCTCCTTGCTGCTGACTTAACAAATGGACTTCTTGAAGAGTGGCGAGGGAGATATCATGCACTTGGGACTCAGACCCTAACAAATTCATATAAAAGGAGAGAAACTCAGCAGCAACTTGATCAAGAGAGCTAGTCATATTGCCATCAGCCGTTCTCACTGCATTAATGCGATTCCTTGCTTGATTACTTTTAACAATAGCATGGAAGAAGGAGTTGGCCTTATCACTGAGATTAACAAAGTCGCTCTTTGCCTTCTGAGCGAGATAGAGTCTCTCAGCCTCAAGAAGATACATGTTTTTTTTTTTATTGAGCACAAACCGCATTATGAAGGGATTGATCATTTGGGTTCTGTAGCAACTAATTCTTCAAGGAGATGAGAATTGTATTTGCTTCTGGGATGATAATAGTTGTATCAGGTACTGTAGCAGCTGGGATGACAGTAGATGGAATGGCAGTAGCAAATGCCCCAGAGCCAACCAGTTTCTTCTCGATATAAGCCTGTTTTGTTTTGCTTTGTTCAATCTTCTTTCTTGTAGGCGGTTGATTGGATTGACAAGTTTCCATGCTATGCCCAATTCTGCTGCAAGTTTTGCAAAATCTTGACAGCTTTTCATAAGCAATCTTTTGTATATGTGTATCTCCATTTGGGAGAAAAACTGGGACAACATATTTGATTGACTTTGCTATATCAACATCCACCAACACTCTAGCAAAGCTGACATGGTCTCAATTTGCTATTAGCTTATCCGTGTATATGAGTCTTTCAAACTCTGAGCATATCTTGCCAAGGGCTTTTGCTGACCAGAGATTGAGAAGAAGTCCCTCCAATTGCACCCATACTGGAAAAATAGTGAGTTCTTTATCATCAAAACCAAAAAATTCTGGCATTTTCTTCAGTAGTAAAGGCTTCTCATACACCATGTAAGGGTCAGCTTGAAGAACATTAATCATATCATCTTCACTATCAAAAGAAATTTTGATCCAGTCACTCTTATGAAAAGAGTATCTATAGGGCAATCCCCAGGTCTTACAAAGTCCCAAGAAAGCTCTCATACCTGGAAATCTCCCTGCAAAATAGCCCACCATAGAGAACTTGAACTTACTTTGGGGAACAATGTCCTCCTCTTCTATGATGGCTCCTCCTTTCCCAGTTGGCATATTTGCTTGAAGCTTCATTCCATTTGCATGTTTCTTGTTGTTGGCAAATATATCTGACCAAGGAGCTTTGTTTGCTTTCCTTTCTTTCTTTTTTGGGGCAGAAGTGTTTTGGGCAGAATCTCCCTAAGAGTTATTTGTGTCCTCATCTCCAAGAGTGCATGAATTACTTGGGGACTTCAGAGGAGGAAAATTTGTAGGAGCAAAGCCCAGGGCAGACATATCAGTTTGATGATCTAAATGGCTGCCTTCAACTTCTACGACTTCAGAGAAAATCCCCTATGCAACTTCGATTTCTTTTGAAAATTCAGAAACAGACTTCTATTTAGATTCTATTTCTGCAGCAGCATGAAACTCTGCAGGATCTACAGATTTTACATCAGACACTGTAGTTTATACTTGATGATAAATGTTATAGTATGCATGTCATACCAATGCATTCGACATTTGGTAACACTCCAATCGATGTCGAATGTGACCCTTTTCAA